TACTATCACTAGGGGACACAGATCAAAGCCCAATGAGACACCGCTGTGTACCCCTAAAACACAACAAAAATCCAGAAAATAAGATTTGACACGAGTATAAAGAAACTGGAAGCTTCATGAACATCTAGGGTAGGAATGTACAATGGTGTAACCACTGTGAAAAACATAATGGAGTTCCCTCAAAAAGCCAGGCAACACAGCGACTCCACTGCGGGGTATACTTCCAAACGCAGTAAAAGCAGGGACCCAATAGGTGTTCCTACACAACGCTCACAGGAGCTTCAGTCAGAGTCAAAGGGCAGAAGCAACCCAAACGTCCAGCAACAGATGCATGGCTAAACACAATGTGTGTACACTACAATGGGAAAGTACTTACAGGAAGCTGGGGAGGGAGGGGACTAGAAGCTGGGGAGGGAGGGGACTAGTTACAGTTAAAGGAGGCAGAGTTTCAGCTTGGGAAGATGAAAATTAATGCCGCTGAACAGACACTTACAAATGGCAAAAAATGGCCATTCTTGTGTTGTCTACATTTTACCCCCAATAAAACACATGCGCACACACACACACACACACGGACTGTTTCTATAAGAATTAGAGAAACTTGTTACAATTCTTGCCTTTAGAAAAAGAACTTGGACAGCCAGGAGTTGGAGGTGAAAGATTGTCATGATATGTGTTTTATACTTTTAAGAATTTTCTCCCATTTACATATATTATCTATTCAAGAATCTAACTTTCCATCAGGCTTATTGATTTCTAAACACAAAGCAGGAAAATGTATATAAGTGAAAAAAAGATTTTTTTTTAATTTTAGTGGTGCTGGGGTTTGAACTCAGGGCCTCTTGCTTGCTGGGCAGGCGCTGTACCACGTGAGTCATGTCCCCAGCCCTTTTTGTGCTCGTTATTTTTGATATAGGGTCTCACCTTATGCCCAGCCAGCCTGGACTGGGGTTCTCCCACTTGTGTTGTGATGACAGAGGCACGCCACAGTGCCCAGCCACTGGTTGGCATGGGGTTGCACGAGCTCCACCCCACACACACACCCTGCTAGTCTTGAACAGTGATCCTGCTGATCTCTGCCTCCCACATAGTTAGAGGCTCGAGCCAACATGCCTGGCCATATAAGTGAAAATGTTTACAGTCTATTTTGCAGCAAAATGAAAACATCCCTAATTAGCAATACTAAAAACCTACGCAATGCTTTTCAAGGAGCTAGTTTCAAAAGCTGTTTAATTTTAAAAAACAAAAAAGGAAAGGAAAATGAAATGTTTTAGAACTTAAAAGACCAATACAAAACACACACAAATAAGTTAGCTCCTCTTAGGAGGTTTCTGTCACATACAGCACAACACTGCCCATCCAGTTAACAGGGCAAACATATCTGCACTATTTACTTGAAGAATATCAGTTGGAATGATAATGATAATAACATTGTTTTGAACTTTAATTCAAATCCCAAGCGAATTTGTTCCAGGCTACTATCGTTCCATTCTTAGCTACTCGGGAGGCAGAGATCAGGAGGATCACGGTTCGAAGCCAACCCTAGCAAACAGTTCTCGAGACCCTATCTTGAAAAAAAACCATCACAAAAAAGGGCTGGTGGAGTGGCTCAAGGCTCAAGTGGCTCAAGGCCCTGAGTTCAAACCCCAGTATCACAAAAAAACCCACCACTGACAATAGCAGTTCTCAAACGTTTTGGTCTATACTGCTTTTTCTCACTTAATCATTTATGTAAGTTATATGGATCTACATTTATCATTATTAAATAAAACTTTAAATTTAAAAATATGCATTCATAAGCCAGGTGCCAATGGCTCATACCTGTAATCCTAGCTACTCAAGAGGCAGAGATCAGGAGGATAACAGTACGGGGCCAGCCCGGACAAATAGTTCACAAAACCCTATCTCAAAAAACCCTTCACAAAAATAAGGCTGGTGGAGTGGCTCAAGGTGAAGGCCCTGAGTTCAAACCCCAATAGCACACACACACAAAAAAAAATTCATTAACTCATTTAGAAATAAGTAAATCCACTATATGTTTACAAAAATAATTTTATGAAAAACAATACTTTCCAAACAAAAAGCAAATTTAACTGGAATAACGGCCTTGTTTTGCATGTTTGCACACCCTGTGATGCTGGCTGAGGAGGAGAGCAGAGGTCCCAGTTCATGTTTCAGGTGGTGGTAAGCTACCAGCTGCTAGCCTGGCAGTCACAATACCCGCCTCCTTTCTATTTAATGTGACACAATTCAAATTAAAACTTTCAACATGCACAGCAGGATAAGAGGAAGGGAGAGTAGCCGCCATAAAACACCCCTAAGAACCAGGTGTCAGTGGCTCACGCCTGTAATCCTAGCTGCTTGGGAGGCTGAGACCAGGAGGATCTTGGCTCAAAGTCAGTCCAGGCAAATAGTTCGAGAGACTCCATCTCCAAAATAACCAGAGCAAAATGGACTAGAGTTGTGGCTCAAGTGGTAGAGCGCCTGTTTTGCAGCCTGAGTTCAAACCCCAGTCCTAACAAAAAAAAAAAAGACACCTCGCTACCCTGCTCAATCTTTATACAGAGTACTGCCTTCCATCCTAAATCAAAATGTTTAAAAACAAGGTCACAAAGAGGTTTTACAAGTACTAAAGCCTTTTATAAACTGATAGCACTTACAATAGTACCGAACTGGTATTGACTGAGAGGTAAGGCAATAGATCTGAATAAGCTCAAGTTAGATCTAATCACAAAAAAGGTAGCATGTTATAAAGCAGACCTAACACTCAAAACGTAAACAGACTTTAGCGAGCTGAAAGTAAAAGTGTACTTAGACTTTCACTTTTAGTTATATGTGAAAATAAATTCCAGACAGATCAATGGCTGTTGTACGTGGAGAAGCCGAGGCTGGGAAAGGCAGAGGCTGGCCCTTGTCAGTGCCCTCCAGAGCCTCCCTGGGCTGGTGCACAGTCAGGCTGGAAAAGCTGACTGAGCAGAAGAATCTGACTTCCAACTTGACCGTTAACCCTTGTGGATATTGGGCCAGTTGGTTTGTCTCTGTCCTTCATGTCTAGTCCACAGAGGTGGGTGAAAATGACACCCACAGCACGAGAAACTCATCATAATCATACAAATTAGCATCAGGAACCAAGACCCGAAAGTGACATTCCCATGGTGCCACTCCTGGAATGTGCTTAGTCTTGATATTTTAATGCAAAAAGCAACACCAGGTTTCTCAGAAACCATTCTTATTTAAGTAAGTTTTGGGAATGTACCCTTCCTTCAGGGCCTTACTAAGGTTATTTTATTTGGGAATAAGAAAAAGACATAGCCATAAACATGTGTATTTTTCTTCAATTGGCCCTTTGACCAAAAAGGCCTGACTGGCATCACCACCCTAAGATTTGGGGATTTTCTTCTCACTGCTATGTCAGGAGCTAAAGACAAGAGATAAGGCTGTGTGAAGTGGAAACCAGGGCCAGGGAGGCAGCGAGAGGAAAGCAGGGATGGGAGACTTAGCATAGGAAGAGCCAATGTGATGCTGATGTGACACTGAGCAAACTATTTGCCATCTCCTTGATTCCAGAGACTGGAGAAGTTACCTCTTGCCACACAAATGAAGACACCACAATGAGGTCACACACAAGTCACCCACAGCTCCCCGCTCTGGGGAGCTCCGAGGTCACAAGAGGTGAGCAACTACTTCCCTCCTCTCCATCACAAAGCCGTGCTAGGACTGGGTGCAGCTCAGTGGTGAGCCCGTGCCTAGTGCGTATGAGGCCCTGGGTTCCATCCCCAGCACCACCAAAAAACAAACCCACAGACCTAAAGCCATATTTCCCCTGACTTCTCTCTTTTTTTTGGGGGGGGGGCAGTACTGAGATTTGAATTCAGGACCTCATGCTTGCTAGGCAGGCACTCTACCATTTGAGCCACTACCTCTGTCCCCAGTCCCCAGTAGCAGAACTCTTCAGCTTCAAGACAGGTCGAGGTCAAGGTGCTTGCCATTCATACGTGGTAAACTAGAGCTGTTTGCTCCCTGTGTCCCTTTCAGGCCCTGCCACCACCACCGTCCCCTCACCACTCATTTCCCAGTACTCCATGCAGAGCATTCCCAGAGAACGCAAGGAGTTCAGAGCCCTGGATGCTGTGCCAGGCCACAGCCCTGCATGACCCTCACGCCTCCCCTCTACACAGCCAGGCTGGCTGAGCCAGGTGGACACAGGCGAAAGAGAAACTTAACTCTACCTTTCACTTCACCCCACAGTAAGGCCCATCGATGTAGCTGCGGTACAAAACAAAACAGTTTTGCAGTGTCACTATAAAATAATAAGACTGGAGTGCTTATCAATCTTGGACCTCGGGGTGAGAAAGTGAGACAGAGTCACAGCCTGTCCTGAGTAAAGTCCCCTACTGCTGGTTCAGTTGAGCTCGGGTATAAAGCACCCAACCCTGACTAGCACCTACAGTGAGCGGCAGCCTGTGGCATCGAACAGCCCCTTCCTGTACCAGCTTTAGGTCACCTCCCACAGCTCAGCCTGGTGACACTGTGAGGTCTCCACCTGCCCCTCACCTCGCCTGGCCTCTTGGGAGAATGTTCCTGCCGCCTTTCTTTGCTCTGTGTGGCGCCAATCCCACAATTCTGTCAGACTCGCCACACTTCCTCTGCTTTGGCTCTTCTGTGTCCTGCCTCCACTCAAGATCTACCAATGCTCCTGTGTTTCATTCTTCTATGTTCCATTTTGGTTCTTTTTGCTGTTTTGCCATTCTTTAAAAGCAAATTCTACTCCTTTGCTCAACAAACATATACTCATTAGCAACCATGTACACTAAAGCCATGCAACCTAGGTAGGAATGGCAAGGAGACCGTTCTGTCCACCAGACCATGACACCACAAGGAGTAAAAACCAGGAGTGACTGAAGCAGTTGTTAGCAAATACCCTAGAATGTAAAAAGAAAAGTTCCCACTTCTACTTACAAACTGTACCAGTAACTGAGGACTGTGACACAGTAACAAACCTCACATCCACGGTGTCATTCGACTCATGGTCAAACACTTCAAACGCCTCTTTGATTTTCCTGTGAAATTCTGCCACTGTTACTTCTGAAAAAAACAAAGTAAATAAAATCATTTTACTTTAATTGTGAATTACAAACAAAAATCTCAACCATCAGACTGGAAATCTTCCAAGGGTTTTTGCTTGCTTGCTTGCTTGCTTTTGAGACAGGGTCTCCCTGTGTCGCCCAGGCTGACCCTGAACTCAAATCCTTCTGCCTCAGCCTCCCACGTGTTGGGAATCCAAGCGTGGGCCGCCATGCCTAGGTTAGTTTTTTCTCTTGATCTTCTTTATGGATCAGCACTCAGCATGTTTAACTTCCTCTGGAGGTGTCAAAGAATGGAACAGACTATAAATTTTTCTTTCCGAGGCATAACACCAAAGTTACTTTAACCTTAACCTTGAGTGCACAGTCAAGGGCTTTCCACCCGCTACACCCTCAGAGCCACTGCCCAGATCAAAACCAGAGGCCTCTCCAGCGCCCTCTCTCCGGCAGCTTGGCTGCAGTCCTGGGGGAGGCAGAGTAAACCCAAGGCAACAAATGCTGTCTGCTGGCCTCAGTGTGCCCCGCCCACTGGGCATGTTCTATGCCCGGGGAGGCTGAAGTGGTTGAGGCACATAAAAACCACTCTGTGACCTCCCTCAAAGAGCTTGTAAACAACTTGTAGAATAGGGCTTGCTTTCAGAAAACAGTGATGCAGTTGATAAAAGTTTATTGAGTACTTACTGTGTTCTACCTGCTTCTCTATCGGACAAGGAACAAAACATACAAAAGCCGCTTCCTCTAGAGCTATTTACTGGGGAAGACACACAAGCTTGTACATATCTGCTGAAATACATAGCACGCCAAATGGTGCTAAAAGAAGAAAAAAAAAATAGAGGGAAGAGAAACCAGGGAAGGGATAGGAGTAGTGCTGGGGAGGAGGAGGAGCCTGAGGCGATGTTGGGGACACATCTGATAGAGAGGAAAGAGCCAGCCTGTGAGCACCAGCATCTTGAGGTTTCAGGCAGAGAGAACAAAGTGCCAAATCCCAGGAGGGAAATCCCAGAGGGGCTACCGTAAGGACTTGGGCTCTCACCTGACTGCCATGGGACCCACTGGAGGCCTACTCTGCTCCTGTCTCTCTGTCCACTAGGTGAGAGGACTCTGGAAAGGGAAGGAGGGAGCACAGCCCAGGTGGGGCTGCAGAGAACCATGTGGCTGGAGCAGGAGGGCAACAGTGGAGACAGAGAGAAACAACAGGGTTCTGGATGTGTTCTAAAGGACAGAGCCACCAGCATTTGCTGACAGACTTGATGTAAGGTACAGAGAGAAAGAACGGGGACAAGGCTAACCCCAAGGTGTTTTAGGCTGAGTGAAAGAATAAAAATGTAACCAAGCTTCAAACAGTAGTAAGTATACAGTAAGAGTAACAGGACACCCAGAAAAGAAGTGAGTGAGTATAGAAAATGTAATTATAAATATAATACCTCCAAACAGGAAATGGGTCCCCCACCCCCTGCTCCTGCCCCCACCGTTGGGTGTAAGCAAGGAATCATAGTAAGATCAAAAAAGAAAACGGGAAATCCTAATGACCCATCACTGTAACTTCACACACACGCTCTGGACAAAGAACTATCCACTGAGACGAGCTAGTATGGGGAGGCCCCTCGTGAGCTCCTGGAAGGGTTCTGGATCCTGGCCCTGAGATGAAGACCTGGGGCCATGAGAGGCCAAGCAGGAGCGACCAAGTCCCACAGCTGGGCAGCAGCAGAGCTGGGGCCAGAGCGTGGTCCTCCTGCCTCCCAAGATGTTAAAATGAGTCTGCGGACATGACCCCCAGCGACTTAAGCAAAGCATGGGACAGTGTGGTGACTTCAGTTCTGGACAGCTCAGTGGAGATGTCCCCACCCGGGGGGACAGACAGAAGCAGCAGCACAGACGGAGGGCACGAACACAAGGAAACAGCTCCTGTCCTAACTAGACAGACTTTTACTGAGGGTTTTCCGATTTTTTTCTGCTCTTCTGTGATGTAAGTTTTCCTGTTTGCATAGTGGTTGGTGATTTTTCACTGAATGAGGGTAAAATATATAAAAATTAGGGTTGAATTATAAAGTTTTCACATTTAAGTGTCATTTTCTTCTACCTGTGTCAGTATACAGAATGCTAAAAGAATTAAAGAAATACCAACCCCCCCACCCCCAAAAGTCTTTACTGAATCCGCACTGCGTACCAGCTGCTTTAGCTACCTGTACAACCAGAGAGGCAAGTGAGAAACCCCCAGCTGGGTTTGCCCAGGATCCCAGCTCCTCCCCCGACCCTCCCTGCTGCTCAGCCCAAGACCCACCACCTCTACTCCTTCACCTCAACGCTGCATAACCTTCCATTTTAACACTTCCGCAGAAATGTCCCAGTTTATTGATGGAATTTTTATTACAAATAACATGACAGTGAAAAACTTGGTAATTTTATAAACACAAATGCCTCGTCATTATTTAAATTCCACTGCTCTGATTACAGGCGAATCCGCAAAGATGTTTCCTCAAATTCTGCCCCCTTCTCAGTCCCTACTGGCTCCTCCATGGTCTTTTAAGAATCTGAGCTGAGAAACACTTAACCCCGTGTCAAAATGACTGCAAACAATGTTTAAGCTCAGTTGTGGCGTTTTGCTTTTCTAAAATGAAAACACCTCCACTTCCTAATCGCCAAAAATCATACATTACTGGGGGAAGGATATGGAAGAGTTAAGTAAAAATCTTCAACTCCTAATATTTCAACCCAAAATTTTGTTATAAGTGTCCTTCCTTTCAAAAGATACTACATTATCATTTTTCCTGCTGCTTAGCATTCATCTGGAGGGTTTCATCAAAATTTACCTAACTGGCATCCGAACTGTGAAAGTTCAAGGTTCTCCCAACCGTCCCTTGTTATAATCCACTCTTTAGGGACCTGTCTTTTCCATTTCATCTTCGGGCATCTGTGACGTCTCACAGAAAGTCAGTGAGTAGAGAATGGCTGAACTCGGGGTATGGGGAAGGTTCTCATTAATCATAGTAGCTCTTGGGAGAATCTCGCTTGGTTATGCTACACTACTGTCACCAGGTTGTGTTCCCAAACTTGGTCCTTTTCCCTCTGGGGCTGTGTAACCAAGAACAAGAGCAAGCCCCACGTGAGCAGTGAAGACTTTTGTTCCTGACAGAGTAGCTCAGGGGGATCAGGTGGCTCCAGAGCCAGTACAAGGAAGGAGGGTGGCGGAATAACAGAGAGGAATAGTCCTGCCTTTTTCTGTGGGAAGGGCTGGGATTTTCAGGGAATTCAGATGCTGCCTCTTTTCTCCTTTCACGGTTTTCTCCAGTTGTTGCCATGGCAATTGTCAACTCTCAAGGCGCCAGGCATGGATCATTTAGCATGCAGATGGGAAAGAGACAATCATCCTTTTTCCAGGAGTTTAGTGAATACTCAAACTGTTTCCTTCTATAGTTTAAAAATGCATTTACACTGCCCATTTGTATGTTTGTTTTTGAGATGGGGTTTCCTGTGTTGCCCAGACTGGCCTTAGGTACCTGGGCTCAGGCGTCCTCCTGCCTTAGCCTCCTTGGTAGCTGGGATTATAGGTGTGCCACTGTGCTCAGCTATATTACCCTTTAAGCCATCTGAAATCTATTTGACATGATTCAAAGTGAGTGGCTAAATTAACTTCTGTAATTTACTTGATTCTTTGCTTCTAGTTTATAATGTACGCCAGTCTCTGCTTTCTACAGGCTGTGCATTCTGCTGGCTCCAGTCTGAGCTACATCTTTATCCCTGTACCGTTGGGACACTGTTTTACCTCCTGCCGCCACGTCAGTCTCTTTTTAGAAATGTTCACTAAAATTCTCACCAGTTTACCCTCCCAAATGAAATTCAGAAATGCAAATAAAGGCCTTGGGGCCTGGCTCAAGTAGCACAGCACCTGCCTAACAAGCTCGAGGCCCTGAGTTCAAACCTCAGTACTGCCAAGAGTTTTAAAAAAAGAAAAGCAAACAAAATTTTAAAATTCCAAATAAATACTGTAAGGAGTTTTATTATTGGAATCAAGCTATTGATGGAGATCATTGAGAAATAATTCACACTTAAAAAATTTCAGTTTTCATGGCTAAGAGAGATCTATTTAGATGTATATCCCTTTTTATAGCCTAAATTAAATAATCTATATCGTAGGGGCAGAGGTCCAGCTCAGTGGCACAGCACTTGCTAATAAGCAGGTTCAAGAGCCTGAGTTTGATCTCCATCACTGCAAAAATAAATAAAAACTTATGCATTTCCTCATATAAGTCACACACAATTCTCTAAGGAATGTGTTCCTGGGCATTTGTGGGTTTTGTAGACATTGTGAGGGCATCTTGTTTAGGTCCTGTAATTTCCATTACTGGAGGTGAATACTGGGTTCAATTGCTCTTACATCCATCTGTTTTTCTGGTGTGTGCTGATGGTGTTGTTCACACTGAACCACATCCCATCCCTTCTTGCAACTTTTCTTTTTTCTTGGTGGGACCAGGGTTTGAACTCAGAGCTTTGCTCTTGCAAAGCAGGCACTCTACTGCTTGAGCCACTCCTCCAGCCCATTTTGCTCTGGTTGTCTCGGAGATGGGAACTAGAGAACTATTTGACCAGGCTGGCCTTGAACCGTGATTCTCCTGACTCAGCCTCCCAAGTACCTAGGCTCACAGGTGTGAGCCACTGGTGCCCAGCTCCTTCCCGCAACTTCTGATGAATTTTATTCCTTTGGTGATTGTTTTCTCCTTCCTTTTTTTGGTTTTTGTGGAGCTGGGGATTGAACCCCATATGACGCCTGCTAGGCAAGCACTCTACCACTGAGCCACCCCTCCAGCCCTGTATGGAGCACTCTAGTGCACACTGATGCAGTAAAGGAGCATCGTACAAAGTCACTCTGATCATGGAACCCCTTTCTCTAGTTATCATCTACTGGAAATCATTCATGTTCTCATTAAAATCTAGGGCTTCCCTAACTCAGGAATCCTCACCCACTAGACACTGGACCCTGTATGATGCGAGCGGATCACGGAG